CAGGATGGAAAAAAAAACCCTCATATACCTGACTGTCTGCCTTAAGTGTTAAACAAATCTCATGATTTTCACCTTTTTTGGTAAGAGAAATAGAAAATACTAGTAGAAAGAAAGAGCAAGATAAACTGAGCACTTGGAACTAGTTATAAGTGGAAGGATGTGAAGGCATCTAACTCTCAAGTTTCTGTCTGTTCTGCTGGGAAGAAGCAAGTGGAAGAATATGTGGAAAGCAGAAACCGTTCTGGGTTAGAATCGCTCAGCTGAGATGGCAGCAGGGCACGCAGGTGAAAAGCCTGGATATATTGATTTTTATATTAGCAGTGGGTTATTGTCAGAAGTATGGATTTGGGGGCAATGCATCTGTGGTGATTAAAATGGTTAATACAGGCAGTGGAAGTCCTCCACAAAGATGTGAGAGAAGAGCAATTTTAAAACCAGTTAAACTATTAGAAAAACGGAGGAGTGGCAATCAGAAATGAAGAAAGAAGAAATCTGAGAGATTAAAGGACAAATGCAACAGAACAATTAAAGATAAAATCAGACTGCAAAGGTTTAGTCAACTAGAAGGTCCCTAGTTGCTTGTGCAAAAAGAGAAAACAAAATGTTTGGATTTGAGATTTATTTGCAGATGAGTGAAAATAAATCTTGTCCTTTCTTTTAACTCTTACCCAACAACAGGTTGCACATACAGTTAAGGGTCCATAGAAAAAGCAAGAATGACAACAAAAGAATTAGAAACCAATAACCATGCTAATGGTTTTAAAACATCCTTCAGAGCACACACAGCATATATGTATACAGACGCATAGAAGAAGATCTAAAAAGACGCAAACCAAACTAAACTGCTTTCCAGGAACTCTCTGGAGGGATTGACTATGAAAGTGGTAATCACAGGAATCTTCATGTTCAACATCCTTTAGAAGAAAAAATTCTTTTACATGATTACATTTACTTATATACTTAAAATTTAAAACAAAATTTTCTACAAATAGATTATCTATTTATTACAGTTGACTACATGTATACATATTAAAATACTTAACTAGCTTTGCTTTTTTATTCATAGTTCAACATCAGATTTTTACTGTAACTAGAACCTTTTTAATGTTACAGGACATTATCTTTTAAAGAATGTTCCTGCCAAATGATCTTAACTTTAATTATTTTTTTGTAAATAAGCTAAATTTAAGGCAACCGAGCATCAGTAGATGACTAAATTGCTCAGTTTATGCATGAATGAGCAGTGACATTTTCTACTACGTGATCAGGAGATCTGAGAGAGTGCAGGTAGCTAGGGGAAACAAGACTCACCCATGCTCAGAGGATACTTTGCTAAAGTAATCACCAGTTGCTTTTTTAACTCTTTTGCACATTTGACAGGTAAATTTACTTAAAGAACACTTTATTCTCAAAAATCCTGGTAGGTTGGTTGGTTGGTTTTCATACAAATCTACTGCACATAAATTAAAACATCAATAGTCAGCTAAATGCCAATTTGAAAGAGTCATTTATAAATTTTCTGTAACATAACTGAATATAATCGAGTTAAACGCAAATATTTTTCTGAGCAATTTTCAGTAAGGGATTTGGTTGTATTTTTAATCAAAGCCATAGCTGGGAATATAAATAAAGATTTAAAATTTCATTCCATATTTGTTATTTTTAAATACCTGTGAAAGTATCACTTATTTCAGTCTCACAGAAAGTGCTGGGATGAGAAAGTGCAGAGTAAAGATAAGCAGTATATACACAATACCCCCAAGTAAAGACCTCTTCAAAAAAAGACTGGCTTTGAAACAGAGTTCCTTCCATCAAGAAAACAAAGAGAATAATCCACTTTATCTCCTGCAAAGTTCTGGTCTATTGGAGTACTGGGCGAGGAATCTGTAGCAAAATTTACAATAATTCAAGCTGTATTTGCAGTGGTAAGTGTTGTGGTTTAGCCACATTTAAAAATAAACGCTCTTGGACTTTGCATAACAAGCTGCAGAAAGAGTTTCAGGGTGGCACATGGTTATGAAAAATAGCTCTAAAATAGAAACTAGAAAAAGTATCGTAAAGATTGGGTGTATTTAAGGAAAAGTATCTCCTTTGGTTAAAGGAGATTTCAAATAAAGGATAACAAAAAAGATGTCAAAATATAAATTGTTTCTTGATTAATCTTAATTGTATGTCAGCAATTGTACAAAACCTATTCTTAGAAATTCATCAGACTGTGAGACGTGTAGTAGAGACATTTAAAATATTTCATTCCAGAAAAGTTTAGGCATTAGTAGGTAATTTATTAGGCTTTCTCCTGTTATTTTTTTGTTTGTTTGTTTGTCAAGTATATCCTCTCACCTTGAAAGTCAATACTTGAAACCAAATACTAAAAGTTTTCCAAAAATATAGACATCAAATGCCAAAAAAACTTTGGAATTTTGAAAACCTAACTCTCCACAGGCATCAAGGCAATCTTTCAGAAATCCTATCAAGCATTATGGCATTATTTTTAAAGGGTTTTCAAGGGTTCAGATAAAAAAAATTAAGCACAGATACTTTGTATTTTCTAAGGATAATAAAGTTTTATTTATTATAGTTAGAGACTATCTAATAGTTATATTTGACTAAAAAAGACAGTCACATATTCCTCACATCTTCATTTTTTGGGGTAAGTAACACACTTAAAATTTCCTAAGTGTACACAATTTCCAAAGAGTACCAAAAGTTTCCACGATTATTTAGTAGGAATTCTTAAGCAAATGTGTCCTAGCACAACTTGCACTGAAAGAGCCGTAAGCCTAAAGTTTGTAAAGCCTATCATACATTGACAATAGCAGCTGGTAAATTTTTATAAAGGCAGCGGGGTGTGTGTGTGAACCCAACTCTGTAATAAAACACTTTCATTTTTGAAGCAAAATATATTTCCAATTTAAGCATTTGATATTGATGCCATTTATTTTCAGGTTTACAGTTAAATTTATCATCTTCACTAAAAAGCTGTTGAGGTAAGAGGAAACGTGCACACATTCAAGAAAATTATTTTTTAAATTTCAGTTCTCACTTAGCTATGAGCAATGGCATGCAGCTAACTACCTTATCCCATAAGAGTAAATAGGGCTACACTCAGGGTCAGGACTTACTTGGGAGAGGCCACGACAGAGTGAAAACCCTCCCAGTTTGGAATGTGGTTGTTAAATATATCGTCTACTCTTACAGCTTTTCAACTCGTAAATCAAAATCCTGCTACACGTTAGGATAATATTCTTGACAATTCCCTATATTTTATCTTCTTAAAATCAAAGACTCAATTCTAAAGGGTTAATAGAGGAATTACAAAGTAACTCTCTAGTTTGCATTTCCCATAATACTAAAATAAAGCTTTTTATTCTAGGCTAGAAATTTGCTTTTTTAATACTGTGAAAATCCTCTATGAATCTGTTTAACGTATTTATCTCTTTTCATCTATTCAATGCCATTGGGCATAACGTGTAAGGCAGTGCATGTTGATATTCTGCAAAGCGCCACATGACTCACTGTACTCTAATGCACTCTATTAATCCTGTTTGGACAGCTGTGTCCAGGCATTTGTTAGCTGCATTTTAATTGTTCCATCTTTCTTTTTTTCCTTTCTTTTTTATTTATCTCTATGGCAAACTACTCAGGAATTTAATTTATCAGTCTCAAAAGGTAAATCTTTCCATTAATTTGTTCTTTGTATTAAAACTATACTCAGCATGTATATGATTTCCATACAATCAATACACTATTAACAATTAGTCTTAAATAACAAAGCAAATTATTAATTTCCTGAGTGTTACACTGTTGGTATTTTTAATACTACAAAAATTACTCCTCATAATCTAAGTGATAACATTTAGGTTCAAATATGGTCAAAAGTGCATATTTTTGGCATCTTCAAGGTAAGTACAACATAAGTTGATGTGAAAACAATTCTAAGTCTATAAAGTAAACACAAAAGTAGGAAGAACATTAAGTACACAAATTTGATACTGATACTAGTCTGTAAAACAGCAGTCCTTTTTACTTTTCTACTTGGACTTCACTTTTTATTGAAACAAGAAGTTCTTTGTAAGAATTATGAAGATTGACCAAAAATCCTGTCCTTACCACTGATGGTAAAATTTTGAATCACATAGCAAAAGAAAGAAAACAAAAGTGATTCAAAGTTACTAATAATTTTTGTGATAAGCAAGCTATACAAGCTTAAAGACTGATTCCCCCCTGTAATAATTTATGAACGAACACTCAATTGAAAACTTAAGTCTAGGGAGTCTAACATAACAGCTGACTGAAATAATGCTTAGGAGAGAGAATACAATCTGAAAATTGCTCTATAAACAAGATAATACAGTCAAAGGAAGGTTACAAAGTAGAAATGTCTTTTACTTATAAATGATTATGAAAAATCTATGCAAATTGGAAAATTAAGAAAAAAAGATACTAATGCAGGCAAGTAAATCCTAAAGGAAGAAGTCTTCACCTTATGTCAGTCAGTGCCTTCTCTGAGCTCACTGCTTTCAAGTTTATTTCACAGATGTAAATAAGCTTAAAAGACTTTTTACAAATTATCAATTTTTAACTCACATATAATTTTAACTTTGAAGTATTTAACATACGAAAAATTGATCTGAATATTGTATAGAAATTATTAACTTTTTTGTTAAAAAAAGGTAACAATTTCCTCAACAAAGAAAAGTTTAATATGTCAGTGGAGGAAAAATGCTTTCAGGTTGATGAAGGAAATTTCAGGCATCTGAAAAATACAATTATTATAAAATTCTTACTTGATAAAATCATTTATCTGGATATGGTATATTCATTAGTAGAAAAATTAAGTAGTAATACAGGCAATAAGTACAATAAATAGGAAGAAGTATTTTATATATAGATCTATATCTCAAATTTTATAGTCTGAGTATGTTTAGAAATGAAATGTTTAGTAGGGACATTTTTAAAAACTCTGAATTTGAAATGACAAACTTCTGACTGCAGCTTACCCAGTGTTCTTGACATCACAGGCAGTGCAGAGCTCAGAACCAATATAGACACACAATTCCCGATGATCTATGTAAGAATCAGAGAACACTGGGCAGTTAAAGAGCAGGAAGGCATAGAAAATTCATTCACAGTCTAAGGAAAAACTTTACATTCTGGCTGCCAGCAATTGCACTTTGCCAGCTATTCACTATAGAATCTAAAGAGGATAGGAAACTTTTTCTATGAGCATTTATAGTTCTCTCAGTGAGTTCTAGAAAATAATTACAAATATAAAGTCAGAGAACAATTAAATTACTATATACTTGAGATACTGTATTTTATATTATTGATTGCAAATAGCAATTTCCAAGACGTTAGCATGTCAAATAAAAAAATAACAAAAGTATTTAATACTTCTGTTTTTTTAAGTTAGACTACTGCTCAACATTTTTACATAACTTCTACTTCTGATAAGCTTAGTTATTGCAATTTAATACCAAAGAGATGACATTTTATTAAAAAACCTAAATAAGCGAGTTTCAACATATCTCATGTTTATTAATTTCTATTTCAATAAACTCCTCGAAGTTGAGTTGATTTTGGCTTGAGTTACCCTTTCAAACTGTTCCATAAGTTTTCCAAGGCTGTACATTTGTACAGAAACAATCTGTCACATCTTTCTCCTGCTCAGATGTTTGTGGATTTGAACTGACAACCTTTGGGTTAGTATCCAAGTACTTAATCAGTGTGCTACCAGGACTCCTTAATCATATTAAAAACAAGACCTGAAAATACTTGCATTTCATAATTAATATTTATCATCAATTAAACTAGATTTTATCTCAACTACTTTTTAAAAGAAGTCACATCTAATGAAATAAGTAATGTCTTCCTTTAGAAAAGATTTAAAACACAGAATATTTAATAAAAAGAAAGCAAGCCAGCAGCTCTTAATAATCTTCATTGTCTGTCTGTGGGAATATTTTACAAAGATGCAGTCACTACATAAAATAACAACCTTTGTGATTCTAAAGCCAGTGACATATTGTAGAAAGTCAAATTAGCCTCACACTACAAAATGTTTCTGAATAGAACTCTTCCTTCTTACTTTAATTATTTAAATTTGAAATACTTTGTCTCTAATACTTGTAGCAACTAAGTTCTTCAGATTTCAAACAAGCTCCCTAGGTACAGTTAGCACAATCAAAGTTACTCATTAGCAACACGTTTTCTTTAGAGGAGAAAAAGTCCTTTCACTGGCTTTCTATAGCTGGTTAACAAGCTCTGCAGTTCCATGCATTTTACAAGTGAATGGATGCTGTCCAAATTAAACAGAGCACATCCTTTCCCACTCATTCAGCATTTTGAAAATCTTGCAGTTTGCATTTACACAACTCACAAACAAATACCTATCACTGCAAATGAGCCCTTCAGTCCATTTGCCCTGGAAGACAAAAAGGAGGCCAGAGTCACCTCCAACTTTACCTTACCTTTGTCATAGTCGTATCATCCTTCTTGGGAGTAAAGTTTCCAAAAAATCGAAGGCTATAGAAACCGACAACAGAGGACACCATAAGATAGCTGTGAGAATCAAGGGAAAAAAATGCTCCGAAAGAATGCAGTATCTCTCAGCAGTCTCCAAAATGTATTAACGCTCAAAGGAAAAACAAAACAAAACAAAACAAAAGGCTACTTTGAGCTCTTTGAGGAAGACTAACCTGCTGTTTTTTCTTCTAGGCAAGTGTCTTAGTAAATTACCACTGTCCCAGAAACCCAAACAGAACATTTGTTGAAAGACAGAATGTTTACTTAAAGAAAGGATACAAAATCAAAATGATTTCAAGTGCAGCTCCCACAAAACCAAAAGTAGAAAGAGAGGCATTTCCTATTCCAGGCCCCTAGAAAATAAAACAACATTGCTTCTCAGAATTCAATGACACCATGATACTTGATTTCCCTACAACTGTTGTTTCAAAAATATGAGACATTTGAAATTAGAAACAAATATTCTAGAGTACGTTGAGACTGCCAAAAGTCAATAAAAGGCAATATTAGATTAATCAACTAATTAAATTATCATGGTAGCAAATTAACAACCTCAACAACATTCTGATTATTTCAGATGTAATAAAATAATTTTATTTAAAGAATTATTTTTCAAAGAACACAGTATCTTTTTTCAGACTGAAGATACTTATTTACTTTACTGAGACAAAGATACCTCATCCCATACAGAGTAAGAGAAATTACACCAAAAGTCGGAACAAATCAATGTAATTTATGTAATTAATTACACAAACCACAAGGTACAGAAAAGACTGTATACAACAAAATGCATTAATGAAACAATGTAATAGAATAATTATAAAAAAGTAAATGCTGGTATAAAGAAATAATTTTTCCTCAATCTGAAACCATTTTGAAGTTATTTCTAAGGTTATAGGAGGATCTAGTCACTAAGAAAAAAAATAGGTTAAAATGTCAATTTTTTTAGTATTTAACTTTATCATAACACCAATAAAAATGTAATACAAACGTTTGGTTGTAAGTCTCTTCTATGGGGGAGCTCTGGCAGTACAGGCCATAGAGAATTGCTCAGCTAATCCAATGGCCTTCTTGCCCTTCTGGCAGTTCAAATCCACCAGCAGTTTCTCTGTGGAAAACTACACCATCTCCCCTCATATAATCTCTAATCTCAGACACACAACGGAAGGCCAGCCCAGTGTAGGTTCAGACTTGACAGCAAGGAATCGTGCGCGGCCTTATATATGAACAATATATTCAAATAGGTACCCTAGGAGAATACAATAAAATAATTTTGAAACAAGAAATGTAAAAATAACTAATTAATAGGTTTCTATCCGACTTCCTTTGCATTCTGATTCAGCTTCATGAAGTGTACGAGTCTTGAAGCGTGAATGGTTGTTGTTGTCTGCCGTGGAGTTAGAACTGACCCAGAGCAAACCCCCCTGTGGGTCTTCAGAGGTAGTAACGGTGCAGAGGACCATCAGGACTACAGCGCCACTTCTTACCACTTGGCCTCCAGAGCTCCCTTTTTGGTATATATTTGGATTTTGTATAAATCCAGTGAATTCTTCTAAGATACTCTATTCATCATCATTTTAGGACTTCTGATAACATAATAATTAACCAAACCAAAAGGCTGGTAGTTTGAACTCATGCACAGCTGTATGGGAGAAAATCTGGCAACCTTTTCCTGTAAAGATGGTGGGTCACCTATGAGTTAGTTCTACTGGATGTTACATAACAATAACAACAACATTAATAAGGAAGGTAGCTCTCCTATGACAACACTTAACAGCAGCAATCCATTTACATTTTCTTAAAGAATCACAAACCAGACTTTCAGTGAAAGCCAGAGTAAATTCTAACAAAGGATAAAAAGGAAAATATGAGATTTAAAAAAGAATGCATATGGAAGAAGAATGAGTTTCCTTTCCTCTTAAGGATATGAAAATAGTTCAGAACAACAAAGTTTGCAAAATTTAGAAACAAAAAAAAAAATCATAGTACTTGACTACTGGTGATAAAGGCTCACTGAAAGCGAAATTTATAAAATTTGAAGTACATACACACAGAGAGGTAAAAGTATTATATTACTAATACAAAACTTCGGAGGTATCTACAGACCAGGATTTTGTAAAACAAAGCCACAAGAAAGCCTTTACTTTACCCTTGTTCCTTTGGGCATTGCTGTTTCATCGACCAACAGGCAAAGAATGTTGCAAGCCACCAAGAGCACCGAGATGGACTGCAACACAAAAGCAGGCGGTTAGTGCTCAAGTTTCAAAATTTTCCATCAACACATGTAGCAGGATCTAAGTAGCCAGATGCATGTTTCAGAACAGAACAAAAATAGTCCAGATCTAAATTCTATCTCAACACTGAAGGTGGCAGACTATAAAAATGCCAAAATAAATTCTAAAACGTTTGGCTTATTATTATAATATCAAACCTCATGACAAAGAGTTAATAAAATATTACTATTTACAAACTCATTTACTAACTAATCTCCCTAATTGGCAGCAAGGGGTGCGAGGTGTAGAGAGGGGGAAAAAAACTTTAAAGCGTAACAATTTAAAAAGTGGTAAATTGTTACCAGAATGAATTTCAAAATGTAACTTTTGCGCTCAGGTGGCTGGTGTGTAGTATACTGAGCTGATAATCAAAGAGTCAGCAGTTTGAATCCACTGTGGCTCCATGGGAGAAAGCTAGGTAATCTCTTCCCACAAAGACTAGAAATCCGATGGAGTGTCACTGAGACTTGCAATTAACGGACCATAGAGTTTGAAGTGGGGTATTTGTAATATTATTTTTTTCAATGAAAATGGAATTTCTCCCCCTTCATAAAGATATTAAAAACCCTATAGACTTTAAAAGTATTGTCATTAGTTTCCATTTTTGTTCTTCAGGTTTTTTTAAAAACAAGGCCTTGGAAGGATTTTACTTCTGTGCCTAGAAAAATAAACACACTAGAAATCGTTTGTTGAGGGTGTTCTCGAACTCAAACACCAAAATAATTTTTTAAAGAAAATTTATTTAAGCAAGCAAATAAAATCTTACTGTCTCAATAAGAAGGAGGACCATAACAGCAGGATACACTAAATTTCTTTCCCACGCTGAAGCTTTTTTCCGTCTTTCTATTAGAAGAGGAAAAAAATATCAGTAATTTCTAAAAATACGGAGTAACATTTTCATTACATAATCAGAATTACTTTTACATAATTTTTTTTCAAATCACAAATTAAGTTTTGTTCCACAACTAAAAACTAGAGTTTTAAAACAGACTGTTCTTTCGATCACACGGATCAATCCTGCAATACATATATTTCAGTTTAATAAAGACTTATTTGTTCGCATCAGCACAATCAAGTATTCTGAGATTCCAATTCTTTTCAAGGTTAGCAAAAATTTGTTGCGAACCACACAGTCAAATGCATTTGCATGGTCAATGAAACACGGACAAGCGCTCCTCTGCTGCTCTCAGCTTTTAGCCAAGATCCACCTGACATTGGCTATGATGCCCCTAGGACCACAGCCTCTTCTAAATCCAGCTTGTGCTGTTCCAGTTGTTGTTTCAGCATGATTTTACTGCATGTGATATTACTTGATAAATTCCACATTCTGTGGGATTACCTTTTATTGAATGGGACTAAATATGGATATCTTCCAGTCAGTTATACTTGGACCAGGAAGCAGTCATTTAGAACAGAGCAAGGAAAAACTGCATGGCTCAAAACCAAGAACGGGTCTACAGCCATACCACCCTGAATGCGCCCGATCTCATCAGATCTCGGAAGCTAAAAAAAAAAAAAGAACGGGCTGTATTAGGGATGTATCCTCTCTCCATACCTTTTCAATCTGTATGCGGAATAGAGTACTCAGGAGGTTGGACTCTATGAGGAGGAATGTGGCATCAGGATCAGAGGAAGATTAATAAACAACCTGTGCTACGCACATGACATTAGCTTGCTTGCCAGAATTGAGGAAGACCTGAAGCATTAGCTACAAAAGGTAAAGGACTGCAGTATCCAATATGGACTGAAGCTCAACACAGAGAAAACAAAAATTTTCACCACTGGTCCAATTGGCAGCACCATGATAGATGGAAAGGAGATTGAGATTGTTAACAATTTTGGCTTACTTGGTTCCACAATCAACATCCTTGGCACCAACAATCAGGAAGTAAAAAATGAACTGCATGAAGAAAATTTGCTGTCAGGGACCTCTCCAGAGTGCTAAAGAGCAATGTTGTCAGTCTAGAAACTAGGAACATCTGATCCAGGCCCTGGTCTTCACAATTACATGCTATGCATCAGGAAGCTGGACAATAACTAAGGATGACAGAAAAAAAATTGATGCCTTTAAGTTATGGTGCTGAAGCAGAATACTGAAAATATCACTGACTGCCAAAAAACAAGAAGGTCTTTCCTGGAGAAAGTGAAGGCAAGTTGCTCCTTGGAGGAAAGGATTTTGAAGCTCCATCTAACATACTTTGGGCATATTGCCATTAGGTGAACAGAAGGGGAGGGGAGGGGAGGGGAGAGAGGAGGCGAGAGGAGAAGAGAAGAGGAGAAGAGAAGGGAAGGGAAAGGAAGGGAAGGGAACGGAAGGGAAGAGAAGAGAAGAGAAATGGGGGAGGAAGGAATTGGGGAGATAAGGGGTTCTGGTGGCCTAATGTTAAGAAACTGCCCTACCATCCCAAGGACGCATGGTTTGAATCCATCGCTGCTCCATGTAAGAAGGATGTACAATCTCCTCCCAAATGAGGTACTGCTTCTGAAAATCCACTAAAGGGTAAGCAGCTATAGGCCAGTTCCAACTTGACAGTACACAACAACAACATGTAGTGTGTGTGTGTGTGTGTGTGTGTGTGTGTGTGTATGCGTGCATAATGTTCTGACTACTTCATACTTCATACGTACACATACTTCAGAGGGAGCTCTGGTGGCAAGAAGTTGCACTGCAATCCCAGAGATGTGCAGTTCAAATACACCAGATGCCCTGCTGGAGAAGGAGGGGGAATCTCCTGTACCAGTTAGATCCAATTAGACAGCACACGTACACAAAAGGGTTGTGGTACAAGGGATATTGTAGCTGTTAGATGGATCTTAGCTGAAAGCAGGGAATACCAGAGGAATGCATATCTGTGTTTCATTGACTATGCAAAGGCATTTGACTGCGTGGATCATAACAAACTGTGGCTGACTCTGAGAAGAATGGGAATTCCAGAACACTTGATCATGCTAATG